ACACTGGAACTTTCTACAAAGTCTGGAAAGGTTCCCCGAGGACTGCCATTCGGGCTGAGGTCAGCCAGCGAGGCAGCCAAGGAGATGCCCAGGAAGAGGAGAGACGCCACGTGCAGGCGAGGGCGGACTGGGCACCTGATGGACCCTGGATTCCGAGCACCAGTGGGTGACCGCCCCCTACCCCCAAGCCCGCAGCTCAGTGATCCTGGTGCCACCGGGCTTGTCCATGTCTTTTCATGTCCACTTTCTGGAGCTCTGCCAGCCAGCTCGGGGCTGACCTCAGGTCCGCTCCCGCTGCTCCACGGGAAAGACAGGGCTCTCTATTCCCGTAAAGAGCTAGTCTTGGAAACCCACGGGGCAGCGCTGCCCTGCCATGCAGGGGCGCTGTGCATCAGCCTTGACTTGAGGTGGAGAGCTGGTTTTGGAGGGAGCCTGCCCAAGAAGGCTCTGTCCCCACAGAATGGCTGTAGCTTGCCCGAGGGCCGGGGTGGGAGTGACGATGGTGCCACCACTGCTGACCAAGACAGACACACGGAGGCCAGCTCGCTCAGCCCAAGGTGTTGTGCACACCCAACTCTTCACTTAGGGGCACCGGTCGGGTCCAAAGACCAGGTTGCTGGGTGAACGTGGATGTGCCACCAACAATGGAGGCTGATCACACCAGCTCACGAGACGCAGGAGAACCACGTCATTATGTAACTGCCAAGTCACGGCACGCCAGTGCCCCGCATGCTTCCACTTCACCGTCACTGTTGGAGAGGGTTCAAGGACCAGGAAGCACTTTCACTGTGACCCTTGACGGGTGGGCCCTAGCAAAGAAGGTGCCCGGAGGGTAAGGGCTGACTGGCTTTTGCCTCCCCGAATGGAAAAATGACATCATTTTGAAGTGACTACTTTGTCTAAGCTTTCTTCTTCGGTATTAAAGCTTTGTGGTTATGAAGACAAAGCAAACTCACAAGGCCGTGATGCAAAATCAGAGGGATGTGGTCAGGTGCCATCGAGCTGGCTCCGATCCACGGCGACCTTCCAGATGACAGGATGAAACACTGCCCGGTCCTGCGCCGTCCTCACGACCCTTCCTACCGCTGAGCCCCTTGTCGAAGTCCTTTCACTTCCTCGCCGCCCTGCTGCTCTACCAAGCTTACATCCTTCTCCAGGGCCGGTCTCTCCTGACGACATGGCCACAGCACGAGAGGATGTCTCGCCGCCGGGCCTCTGAGGAGTGCTCTGCCGCAATTCTTCCAAGACGGACGTGTCTGTGCTTGGAGTGGTCCGTGTGCTCAGTGCTCCTCTCCAGTCTCCTCCCGCCCCTTGTGGCCGGCAGGCCCCGGAGGGCTGCCACCCTGGGTCTTCATCAGTCCCCCTTCGTCAGAGAGCAGGGCTGTGCCATCGGCACACTGCAGGCTGCTTGTAAGCCTTCCTCCCATCCGGATGCCGCAATCTTCTCAGTGTAAGCCAGCGTCTCTGATGACTCGCTCAGGGTACGGATAAAGTGTGGTGAGAGGACCCGGCTCCCATAAAGGAAACAGAACTAACGAGCTCAAGCCAGTTGCTCAGACGCCATCCTGTGTGGCCGGGCACGTGACTCGCCCTTGCAGGCTGTCTGCATCTGGTCTTCACGTCGGGACCAGAGCTCCTCTGGGGCTGGGACCAGCCTGGTGGGCTGGCACCTCCACAGGTGCTGCCGAGGGAGGCCGGGCTGTGCCGGGACGAGAGCGTGCACGGTGGAAGGAGAG